GATGAAAAATGATTTTTTTGTTTAACTTTACAAGTTTAATAATGTTCATCACCTGTTAAGGCAATGTTATTTAATTTATAATTAAACAAGCTCACTCTCGGTTAGTTCAACCCAAAGGGTGGAACTTGAAATTTAAATATTTACTTGTAACTGACATAATGCCTTAATTAAACTGTCCATCATATTCTAATGGTCTCTCGGTTCTTTTTACTATAGTTACTTAAATTGCAGATTTTCTTTGAGAGCCCTGTATGTTTGACCCGAATTCTGTTTTATTAAATAACGGAGAAATGATATTAAATTCCTGTCCTATTGCTCCGCCATATTTCAAAATATTTCATAAAGAAAAGAATTGAACGGGACATTCTGTACACCCGCGCCTGGACACTACAATGGCATGGGCGCTGACATTTAATCTCTAAATCATTATTTAGGAAAATTGAAAAATCCGCAATTTATATGTTTCTGTTAGATTTAAATATTACTAGTTTTTTAATAAAATTAGGCAAATTAATTTTATTTTAAAAAAGGATGTTTTATTCAGCCCTGAATTGATTCAATTTCAAATGGGGCGAAAAATTGTAGTTTAGTCTGATATTGCAATATAATCCAACCTGTTCCTTATTCTACAGTTCTGCAATTTTATGCAATTTGTCACGCCAGGGGCGGGGAATACAGATAGCATGGGGAGTTACCTTAATGGGAGGGGGAAGGGTGATTAGAACCACATCAAAACTATTACATATTTTTTTCAGTAATTCAATTCAAAACAAATTTGTTTGAAATGAGATATATTCTTCAATTCTAGGAAATTTTTGCAGTATTTAACATGACATTCAAACCTTGGAATTCCAGAGATAAGATAACTTTTTCCTTTAAATGTTCTTCCTCCTTCTCTCTCCACACCTATCTCGAACCCCCCACCCTCGTTTCATTTTCACATAAATCTTTTTGGCTCCCCACACCCTCCACCCTCTATACACCCTGCAGGAGTATTCATAAAACAGTATTAAGTGTAAGTACAGTAAGATCCATAAAACATGAAATATGGAGACGACATTAAGCGATCTAATGTGCATTCGGTGTTAATATATAGTTATAACAGTGAATTGAAAATTAACAGAATCAAGTGAAATAGGTCTGTGTACACTGCACATCTGCTGCGTTTTATGTTTATGACTGTTTAAAACAATATCACAGATTATGGGGCTCACTGTAAAAATATTTGAATATTATCTCTTGCTAACAGATTTAATATACATACTCTAAGTTTGTCCCTCTTAACTTACACATTTAACTACTCTAAATAAACGCATCATTTGATTTATAATAATTACATAATATTTTACTTGATTGATTTTAAATTTTTTGCTTAAGATGGCTTCACTTTGAGAATAATTTATCTTTCATCATGAAAATTTTATAATTTATAATTTCAAGTTTTAAAAATGTAAAAAAAAATGTTGTATATGTGCCTTGATAGTCCGCTTTATCACTATAATTATGCTTCAGCTATCAATTCATATCATACTCAATTTTTAGAGAGAATTTCAAAGATTGCTTTATCAGAGATAAAAGGGACTGTTGTGAATTAGTTAATGAGGGGTCATTTAAAATTATGTTCAGTGTCCCTTTAAGAAAACATTGCCATTTCAGTTCCATTTTTATCAGTGTAATACATTTTACAGATTCCTATTTATAAATCATTAGTCGTGCTAGTATCATTAGTCTTGAAATAATGTACATTGAGAGAAACACTGAGTACCAAATTATGAAGAATTAGCCCCCCCCCCCCCGGATAGGTTGTCTAAAAATTACGAGTTTAATGAGAAGTATTATTTCCCGAAGCACCAGACGATAATAAAAACTAAATTTGTTAATTTTTATTTATTTTGGACACCCTTCTCAATAATAATGATCTTCCTTGTTTAACATTAGAACTGTTCGGAACAAAACCACAAAATGTTAGAAATTGTCTAAATCATTCTAGAAATATCAATCAATCAAATAAATAGTTTAGAGTCGTGGAAACTAATCTTTTTGCCTCTGCACCCTGGAATTCTAAAGTACATACAGGGTGACCCTTATAGAATGAGACTTACGAGACGACTGTATATTACAGAACAATTTTAATCTTTTTGTCCAACAACTGTGGTTCTCGACAACTGAAAACATTCCATGAAATGAGACTTCTTGGGCACCATACTTTTTTAAAATAAAGATATACATTTTCATATTAGATCAAGTCTTCTGCAAAGAAAAATATTTTTAGCGATGATAAACCATTTAAAATCACATATCAGATTACTTCTCTTATATAGGTTTAAAAAGAGAAAATTGAAAAGACTCCATTTGCAAAGTTTAAAAGCCCCCAAAAGAGCCCAAATTTGTTGAGAAAGGGATCATATAACAGAAACAAGTGTGGGAAACCTTCAGTGTATAAATATACTTGAAACACAGGCTAGAATTTCTCATAAAGTGTTGTAAAAGGGGTTAAAAACTGTCTTTTAAAAAGGGTCTAAAACTAGATTTGAATGCTTGTAAGAAACATATTCTGTCTGGGGTTAAATATGTTTCCTGCCCCCCCCCCCCTCCCCCACCATCCGTCCCTAGGGATACACTTGAACGCCCCTGGCAGGCCGTAATTTTCATCAGGGGATTAGTTTCCCAGTTCTACAGTTTTTCTAGAGTTACAAAGAAAATAATATTGTTTCAATATATCACCACCACTCTCCCTTCCTTTCATTTCACACAGCTTTCCAATTTCTCTCTTTCTTTTCTCACTATTATCTACACGCTTGTCCTTTTTACTCCCTTTCAAAATGAAATCCAACTTTTCCCCCCTCTCATAATTTCTTCACTTTTTTATTACCTCTCCAGCATAACACTTTCTCCGTTCTTCATTCTATATCACTCTTTCTCCGTCTCATCTTACCCATTCTTCGTTCTATATGACTCTTTCTCCGTCTCATCTTACCCATTCTTCGTTCTATATGACTCTTTCTCCGTCTCATCTTATCCATTCTTTGTTCTATAGGACTCTTTCTCCGTCTCATCTTACCCATTCTTCGTTCTATATGACTCTTTCTCCGTCTCATCTTATCCATTCTTTGTTCTATAGGACTCTTTCTCCGTCCCATCTTAACCATTCTTTGTTCGATATCACTCTTTCTTTGTCCCATCTTACCCTTCTTCTTTCTTTATAACTCTTTTTCAGTCCATTCTTTTTGTTCTTCGTCTAGAATCAAATCTGTCTTACCTTACTCGTCCTTGGTCCTATCACTATAATTCTCAGTCCTTCATAACTCTTAATCCGTCCTTTTCACTTATTCTTCGTCCTTTATCATTCATTTTCTATCCTGTCTTAATCTTTCTCTCTGTCCCAATTATATTCATATTAAGCTGTGAACAGATTACATTTAAACCCTAAACTTCAGAGAGCAGTATTCAATTTCTGTTCATCCTTTAAAATGATTTTTATTTTCGAGATTTTCTCTATTAATCCTATTCAGGGGCGGATACAGGATTTAAGTGAGGGGGGACAAGATTTTTTTAGGAACAAAAAAATCAATAATTAGGAACAAAAAATCGTGCCGCAGGCGAAATTTCTTTTTGACTTAAAAGACTTTTAGTCAAAATTAATGACTAAAGACTAAAAAACTAGATTTTTAACTTTAAGGAACAAAATTAACGGATTATAACAGGAATTTAGGAACAATTAAAAGATTGTTCAGGAATTAGGAACAAAAATAAATGGGGTGGGGGGGTTAATGAAAGCTTTTCCTTTCCTATCTTTATGTCAGTGTTTGTCTGTGTTTATAAACGTAAGTCTGTCTACCTTCATCGTGTCTGTCATTCTTTATCCTAGTCTGTCTATCTTTATCATAGTCTGTCTATCTTTATCATAGTCTGTCTATCTTTATCTAGTGTGTGTATCTTTATCTAGTCTGTCTATCTTTATCTAGTGTGTCTATATTTATCATAGTCTGTCAATCTTTATCTATCCCCCCCATTAACCGTTATTATTTTATGTCCCTTTTAAGCACCTATTTATGGTTTAGGAGTCCGACCATTTTATACAACCAGAGATGTAGTTTGTCATTCATTTATTTTTTATTCAAAATCATTAATTCGTATTGTCTCTTTCATTTGTTTGAATTAATTCGTATTTATATTTTAGTTTAATAATAGATTGGTTTGGAAAGATAAATTTACTGTGTAATATGCAATTTAATTATTTCATTATGATTCATTAAAAAACATGATTTAATTTATAATCAAGTCTACAATAAATTTATTTCCGTCGTCATTACAAGTTTCGCTTGCAAAACACTTTTTGGTTTATTAAAACAATAACAAAAAATGGAAAAATATATGATGGTTTCTAGAATATCAACTGGATTGACTTTGAAGTGTTGCAATGACTTTTTTTAACCATAGACAAATATAGCACTGGTTTTAAGCTTTAGTTTTTAAGAAGTAATTGGCAAAATTCTCATAAATTTTTGCGCTAGAGTTTGTCACCTTCGGATCACTGTGATGCATAGAAAAATAATACCAACAAAAAATCCAGTTAAAAACAAGAAAAATACAAAACCGATGTGAAAACTATAGAAACTAAAATGTTTAGACTAATTGCAGTAAAGATTCCACAGAAAACATTTATTGGTCGTTTTTCCCAACATTTCCCCTAAATTTGTCCAATATACTGGGGCTGCGGGGGGAATTGACGTTTTATACATTTTTATCTTGATGATCGGTATAATTCTAAATATTGCTTGGACGGGAAAATTCTAGAAATTCCAGACGCTTAGTGCCCCTTCTTCTGGAAGTGATTATTGAGTTCCTATTTCAATTTCGTATCTTCGTTTTGATTCATTGAATTAAATTAATATAAATAGCTAACGGGAACAATTTAGAATTTGTTTGACCGATTTCTTTCGCCATTTTATTTTCAAAAATTTCTTTACATAGATAAAATATTATTTTTTTATTTCTAGGTGGTGACCGGCGTGCCAACAACCTCCCCTGGGTCAACTGGGTCAGGTTCCAACCTGTCCCCCTCCTGTGGGGTTGAGGGGGGCACCACCTCCTCCCCCCTCTCCTCTAACCCCAGGGTGGGAATGAACGATATGTCTGGACAGTTGCTGGACAGCTCCCTAGCGGCGCTATCCTACCCTCGGTTGGGAGGTGGGATGGGGCTCGGAGGTGGTATGTATGGAACTAGCTATCCTCCCTCAGAGCAGAATCCATATCCTTCTCTAGCTATGGATAGCTCATCAGCTTTCTATGGATCCTTGGTAAGTAGCAATAAACATTATGGACATTATCAAAGTTTTACGTCTTAAAGAGTCAGGAGAATATTAAATAATTTTAAAACGGGTATCGGATATATCAGACCACTCTCCTATTTGAGTTTGGTAGTATCACTGTTATTTCAATCTAAAGTTCCTTTACGTAGTAGTTAAGGAAAACATTTACTAGACCAACAGACCTTTTGGTATATACTGTAGGTATCTAGGTATCTAGGTTTCTTGGTATCTAGGTATCTAGGTATCTAGGTATCTAGGTATCTAGGTATCTGTATCTAGGTATCTAGGTATCAAGATATCTCGGTATCTAGGTATCTAGATATCTAGATATCTAGCAAGGTATCCATGCATAACATATATATATTGCACCCATTGATGAATCATAAGGATGATCTATATAAAATATATATACATATAGAAGATTTCTAGGTTTAATAGAATTAAGATATTATCTGGACCCCACATATACCTTGAGCTCTTAGAACCAGGACCGTTCATATATCACATCTTACACACCTCATCCCTCAATACATGAGCTAGTCTGATATATCCAGCATAATATAGGAACAGGTTCTCAATACACGTCACATATGAAAGCAACTGAACTTGATTCAGGCAGTTAAGCCTGGTGTATTATATCCCATGTTTTATACAACTGTAGGCCGAAGGGGTATCCAAGCAGTGCCTGATTTTATAACATGGGTTTAACTTCAAACCTTTAGAAATAGGAACTTAGAGTCAGGGGCATACCATTGAGTTTGATAATGGGGGGGGTGTCTTTTTCATTACATCCCACACCCTCAAAATGACACGATAAAGGGACTGTAAGCGTAATTTCAAGCGACCCTTCATGCAAAGATAGCGATGCCTGATTTACAGGAAGACGCTGAACTCCAATCTTGGAGTGTGGAGGTGGGGAAGACTTCACTGCAGATTTTACTTTTGTACATGACCACTCTTTCAAGAATTTTCAATTAAATTAGTACTTATTTAGGGTTAGGTTAGGTTAAGACACTTTTTGGGCCGAGCGCTGCGGCTAGGACAGGCTAGGGGGCCGAGCGCTGCGGCCACGGGTTAGGTTAAGTTATGACACTTTCTGGGCCGAGCGCTGTGGCTAGGATTCAATCTCGATCTACAAATGTCATCCCCCCTTAATCATGCTTTTGATTAAGTGCGGCAGTGAAGTCTTCCCCACCTCGCACACTCGAAGGTTCAGCGTCTGCCTGATTTACAAAGGTACCCTTGAAACTTTGTCTGATCAAGTATGAATTAGATATCAATGTTTTTGTTTCTTTAAACTTTTTATTTTCAATTGCAGTTTCTCTACGAGAGTGATTGCGCAATTCTTGTTTATGAAAAGCAATGGAGAACCTCAAAGAAAAATACACTTTTCAAGTCAGAAAAACGGCGGTATCTACCGATTTTTTGACAATATTAAGGTTTCAATGGTACAGTTGCAAATCAGACATTGCCATCTTTGCATGGAAGGTCAATTGAAATCACGTTTACACTCCCTTTAAGTCCCTTTAAAATGTTAAAGTCATTTTATTATATTCTTGGAAAAGACAATTCAGAAATAAATTCGAAATTATGAATTAAAAATATTTGCAAATACGAATCGCAAGTTAAGCAAAATTGCAATATCAATCAATCATTCAATTAATGAAAGGACTAATAAATGAGTTGCCTGGAGCCTATATATACCTCATCAAGTTCTTTAGCTGAAGTCAAGTAATGCCATCCACGGCACAATATAACAATAAAATGTTAATTATAGAAACATTCCTAAAAGAGACCGATAAAATCTCTGTCCTTCTGCCTTTCATCAATCAATCAATCAATCCATTTTCTCGTAAAATAAACTTTTTCCGTCTTTTTCATCGTATCGTTGGGACGCACATGATAATGGAACTTTTTTGCAAATCTCAAGTGCAAATACAGGAGTTTGCGAATCTCAAGTGCTAATATAGGATTTTGCAAATCTCAAGTGCAAATAGAGGATTTTGCAAATCTCAAGTGCAAATAGAGGATTTTGCAAATCTCGAGTGCAAATGCAGGATTTTGCAAATCTCAAGTGCAAATACAGGATTTTGCAAATCTCAAGTGCAAATACAGGATTTTTCAAATCTCAAGTGCAAATATAGGATTTTTCAAATCTCAAGTGCAAATACAGGATTTTGCAAATCTCAAGTGCAAATACAGGATTTTGCAAATCTCAAGTGCAAATACAGGATTTTGCAAATCTCAAGTGCAAATACAGGATTACTCACAAAGGCTGAAAAGAAACTATGTTAACTAAACAATCTACTGATCAATTCTGTCTTAAAAACTCATTTAATAATTTGTATTATAGACAAAGGGGGAGAGGTTATATATATATTTATATGTTGCAAAGTCACTCATCTCTGAAGTCAAATATTTTGTGAGCAACCCTTTTTCTTGAACTGTTGTCTTTCTTGAGTCCCAAAATAATATGATTTAGGAGTTATTTAGAAAAATAACAAAAAATTATATTTTTAAGTATTCTTCCCTTTTTTACAATCGAAAGGTTTAACGTCCAAAAAATGTTCATTGTTCAAGGTCTCCAATGAAAGAATGTTGAAACTAATAACTATTAGAGATAAAAGCTTGTAAAATGAGTGCAGGACCGGTTTGGAAACTTTTCCCTCCTGATTTCAAATCTTGAACTCCATAGTGCATCTTCAACTGCATTCAGAACAACTCAACTTCAGCGGAATTTTTCAATTATAAAATTTGGAAGAAAAAAATTTAATCAAAATAAAATAAAATTCCAATTTAATAAATAAGAGAGAATATTAAACACTGAAACCAGTTTCTGTGTTATCTTCGAAGGTCAAAAACGTTGAGAAGTCATTTCAATTTGGTTACAGTGTTTAAACTCATATTCTTAACCGTTCATTTCTTTAATTTGTTTATTTTTGACGAAATTCCACATTCTTTTAGACAAAGCTATTTTACTATGAAATTTGAGTTAAGAGTTAAAAAAGAAATATTATCAGTCTGTACAATACGATTCCAGTTCCTCTTCCTTCCTTTTTTTCCTTCCTTCCTTCCTTCCTCCCATCTATCCTTCCTTCTTTCCATCTATCCTCTAAGTCCGCGAATGATTATATTTGAAGAAGATTACTTCTTAAAAATAAATTTCACCAAGCTACAATAGTTGATTCAGATAGATGACTTAAAGAGATACATAGATAGATTGATAGATAGATAGATAAATAGATAGATAGATAGATAGATAGATAGATAGATAGATAGATATATCTTGATGGGATAAATAGATAGATGATAGGATTAGGCTAACAAAACAGGGAATTTTTTCATGGGGGGGGGGAGATGGATAGTATGAAAATTTTAATAATTTAACTTTTCCATAACTTTTTCAACAATTTCTTTTTATTTCCTTTAAAAATATTCAACCATTCTCTCCCTTTCTTTTTCCCCCTGAAATGAGGGATAAAGAGGGAAAGAGGGGAGAGTATAATAATATTAGTATGGTTTGACCATTATACATTATAATATACTCAATATATCTAGATATATATAAATATACTGTCACATCCTATCCACCATATATATCACTGGGAAAGAATATATTCACTTATTTATAAGGATTTGGCCATGGTTGCCCCATCCCGTACTGACTCTTGAAACTTAACTTTTCAGCTATGAAATCATAAATAGCCAGGACTTTAAATTAACAGTGTATTGGGATTAGAGAGTTTAGCAACTCCTGAATTCTCCTGAATTCTCCTGAATTCTCCTTAATTCTCCTGAATTCTCCTAAATCCTCCTGACTCCTCTTGGATTCTCCTGAATTCTCTTGAATTCTCATGAATTCTCCCGAATCCTCCTGAATTCTCCCGAATCCTCCTGAATTCTCCTGAATCCTCCTAAATCCTCCTGAATTCTCCTGAATCTGGTTTTAATTGAATTCTGAGATCTGTCACCCTGAATGCATCAGCCATAAAATCAGTCCGGCCCACCACTGATTCACACAATGGGTAAGTAGCCTGCACACACTGGGTCACACAATACACACAATACAGCACACACACAGGGCCAGCTGTTCACTCTGCTCCTGAGCTCACACAATGGTCAGGGAGAATCAGGGGCAACAAGGAACATTTGTTTGTTAGAGTGTGGTTTTAGAAACAAAATATTGAAGAAAAAAGTAATGTAATTTAATTCTTAATCTATCTTGTACACTGTATTGTACATACTAGTGTATGTATAGTCACCCACCCCTGGCTCCCACATTTTTGTGACCCTGTAGATTTGATATTAGAGTTGACAGCATGTTTTACCCCTATCCTTCTATCAATCTGTCCATCTATCTATCTTTCTTTCTAGCTCTTAATCTATATCTATCTATTTATCTATATATAAACTAGGCTTTAAGGGCGCTTCGCAACCATCTTCTATTTAAATTGTGAACGGTTTCTCTTTGTATACATCGTAAAACAAAAACAAACAACAAATTTTCGCAAATTTTAGAGAAAAAAATTTGTGGATTTTGAAAACTTATTGCAAATGGAATTTTGTTGAAGGCAAGTTTTTGAAATTTTGATCATTCATAAACCTTCCCAGGGTCTTCTCAGACCCCATCAAAAATTTGGGTTCAGCCGTTTTGACGTTTATTGGACACAAACAAACAGAGACAGACAAACAAACAAACAAGCTAAGTGAAAAAATAGATATCTAAAAATGTTTAAAGAAGATAGTTGCTTTTTCATCAATATATATATTTTTCTATTTATCCACTATCTATATATAAATTTGGCTTGTTTGTCTGTCTGTTTGTTTGTCTGTTTGTTTGTTTGTATCCAATAAACGTCAAAACGGCTGAACCGTTCGGGCCCAAATTTTTTGTGGGACATCTAGGGAGCCCAGGGAAGGTTTATGAATCATCAAAATTTCAAATATTTGTCTCTATCAAAATTCGATCGTCATTAAATTTTTTAAAA